TTCATTCAAGCAAAACCATCTCCTATTCCCTGTCAATGAGTTTCATGATTTAGAAGTAAAGTGCTTAAATAAACAATTGTGATACCTTAAATGCTACAGTAGAAGCACCGAACTGGTGTTAAGAGACATAGAAAAAGGAATAATATTTGCAGGAACAGGGGTATGCGGGAGACACTGAAGGGTTTGAAGAAGGAGAGCAACAGAGTAACACGTGGAATTGAGTACTTTAGAAAGATGACTCTACGTGAGTAGGGAAGAGAGTAGTAAGCCTGAAGGGAGGTAGGGCTGGAAGCCACAGATCTGCTGGGAGATGACTTAAAGTGCAGAGATGATGAGGGCTTGAATTACCGCAATGGCAGCAGAGATTATTAGAAGACAGGGTGAGGTTTGGAGTGGTATTAGAAGACCTTATGGCCAGGGGCCCAGGATATGCCACAGGCCTCCCTTGAGAAATAATAGCAAAAGAGAACAGCGAGAAGTTAGCAATGATGGCTGTGTAAGTAGTAGGCAGAGGAATGGCAAGAGGGAAAATTTCAAGTTTGTGTCTGCTGCCTTTCTAAGTCATTTGGACATTAACCTGGGCAAGCAGAGTCTGGACAAAGTGTTTAAAGTGTACAATCAGATAACGCCAGAAAATAACAGTGCTAGAAAGATGCAATCTAGACTGGAGTGGGGAGAAATCAGTGGCTGAGAAAGGAGATAGCACAGAGGTATATTAAAAGAAAACGTTTAATTATAATTTTTTTTATTTTAATGAAATTTAAAAAATTGCATTTCATAAAGAGACTCAAGTTACCTAAAGGAAACATTTCTTGTTACAGTGAACTACTGTTTTTTAGGTTGAAATTGTCAGGGCTCCTGGGTGGCTCAGTGGGTTCAGCATCTGACTCTTGATTTAGGCTCATGTCATTATCTTATAGTTTGTTAGATTGAGCCCTGCATGGGGCTCTGTGCTGACAGTGTGGAGCCTGCTTAGGATTATCTCTCTCCACGCCCTCCCCGCCCCCCCACCCCTTTCTCTTTGCCTCTCGGTCATTCGCATTGAATATTTGCATGGTGCCTCTCTCTCAAATAAATACACTTAAAAAAAAAAAGAAGTTAAATCGTCACCAATAATTATAGTAGCAATAGCTTATTATGTGGAGGTGCTGTTCTAAGTATTTCACATATAGGGCCTCATTTAATTCTCAAGCATTATTATTAATTCAGTTTATTGTTAAGTGAGATGCACAGAGGTTGAGTAACTTGTCCAGGGTCATCCAGTAACCAGTAAGGGTAGAATTTGAATCCAGACATTGTGACATGAAATCCTGCACTCATTATTATATCACTAAGCATGTTTAGTAAATGCAGACATTCAGAAATTATTTTTACTATGTTGTGGTTCAAAGCACAAAGAGGCTCTGGACCAGACTGTGTAAGTTCAAATCCTCATTTCACCACTTAACAGCTGTGAGATGAGACATTACCCAAGTGACTTCCTCACTCCACAACTGTTTTCCTATCTAAAAATGGGGATAATAATAGTGCATGTCTCCTAGGGCATTTCTGAGCCCTAAATGAGTAAATGCAGAAAAGGTTTAGAGTAGTGCCTAGAACATATTACACATCCCATAAAATTTACCTGTTATTATAAACATTATTCAATCCTAAATGCTGAGAATACTGGTAAGTAACGCTGTATATACTGCATGGCCCCAGTTAAGACCTGCAGTAGGCAGAATAATGGCCCCCAAAATGTCCATGCCCTAATCCCTGGAACCTATAAATATGCCACCAAACAATGGCAAAACGGACTTGCCAGCTGTGATTAAGGTTATGGACCTTGAGATGGAGAGATTATCCAAGATTATCTAGGTAGCCCAATCTAATTAGATTCTTAAAAGACGGCAATTAGAGAGAGAGCAACGTAAGAAAAGGTAACAGAAATCAGAAGGAGGAGAGGCTTCCAAACCAGCAGTGCTGGCTTTGAAGAGGGAGAGAAATGACCACAACCCAAAGAACACGGATGGCTTACAGAAGCTGGGAACATGTCCTCAACTGACAGCCAGCAATGAACCAGGAACCTACCACAGCAAGGAACTGAATTCGGCCAACCTGAATGAACAAAACACCAAATTCTTCCCTATACCTTATAGGAAGAAACACAGACCTGTGGATAAACTGATTTTGGCCCAGTGAAATCTGAGATGGACCTGTGACTACAGAACTGTTTGACCATACATTGGTGTGGTTTTGAGCTGCTAACTTTGTGGCAATTGTTACAGCAGCAGTAGTAAACATAAGATCCATGCTTAACTTTTTCTTAAAAGACTCAAAAATATTGATTTAAGAACTATGTAATATGCTAAAATGGATTTAACTTTTTAAAGTCAGCAATTTTAAGCTGTTAGGGGCATAAATCAATGTCTCCTTTACATTTCTATTATTAAATTCCTTAGAACCTAAAAGTTCCTGAAAGGCTAGAAGAAAGTCATAAATAAGATGATATTATAATTCTTTTCATCTTCTCTTTGTATTTAAAGAAATATTCTATTTTTTTCTTAAGTTCTCATAATTAATGGATGAATTCATTATACTTTGATTTTTTACTAATACATTTTAAGCCCATAGCCAAATCCTAATAAGACTCTTCATTAACATGTTGGCAGGGATTTATAAATTCTAGGTTTAAACAATTAACATGCTGAATTTACAGAGGTAAAACACTTACATGCCAAATACACTATGCCTGGGTTATCTAATTTTTCACTGTCTCTGAATTGGTACTCATTAGCTCCAAGAAAGTAAGGGCCATGTCTGGGTGTTCACCTTTATATGAAAACTGCTTAGCAAAACTCCTGGCCCCCAGCAGGATTCTGGTAAATAAATCAATGAAAAACAAATACATTTTTAAAGAAAGTATAGAAAGTGGGAAATAAAGCTTCCCTGAAACCTCAGCTTACTAGCTCCCTGGCAAATTAAAGAGGTATACTATATCTAGAGGTTAAATGATACAAATTGGAGCTTATTTTAAACATTTTCAACAAAAATCTTACATGTTCTACAGTTTTATATCCTTAATCAGATTCAGTAAATATAATTCAAGTATCTTGATAGCTTGGTACATATATTTATTATTAACAGCTCATGCGATGTTCACATGACATACATAAAGTTCCATGAATTAGAACCTGCTCTGAACATGTCATCTATATTATGGGGGGGGGGGGGGTGTATGTTTTTCCCATTTCCATAAAAATTCAATGAAGCACAGTGTATCTGCTGGTCTATCTGAGAAGTACAACATGGTTGTCTTCCTTCACAGGTGCTAAATGAAAGCCTTGGTCTTCTTGAAAAAGACTTTCTTATCCTCCAGAACAGCACCATTCAACATAAATATAACACAGAGAATATATGTAATTTAAAATTTTCACACACATTCTCATTTCAACATGTAATCAGCATAAACTGAAACAGTTTGCATCCTTTCCTTTTCATGCTAGAACCTAGAAATCCCGGGTGCATTTTACACAGACCTCCATTCGACCTACCCGCATTTCAGGTGGCTGGGAGCAACTACATTGGCCAACTGGAGCTCTAGAAAAATCTCCCCTCCTATGCCTAAGTGAGCTGCATACCCTGTGAACTTGTAGCTCCTACTCTAGCTCATCTGTACTGTTGGTTTATGTGGTACAAAGGACTTTTTTGTCTTTGTTTTAACTAATTCAGGAAACCATCAACATCATCCTCCTTAGGACTGTTTTTTTCCGAGATCTCCTTAGTGTATGGAAGACAATAAATATTGCCGGTATAAATGATGTTAAATTGTACACCTTGAATGCAAAGATGAATTTGAACACTATTAAAATCCGTTAATAAACGTTCTTTTGTCCATGTTTCATCCTGAGTAATGCCTGTTTCACAGAAAAGTTACTTAAAAAAAAATAAAAATCTTTCTTGTAACGCTCCTTTACAGGGTAAGCTCTCGAACATGTAACAATACAGTTGTCGTGGGAGTGTGCGCTCCTGGGGAAGAGAGGTGAGGCAACAACTGAAACGTACTTAAGACCTACTATGTGCAGGAAGGTTCACCTACCTGTCTTCAGCTAAAGCAAACCCTCCAGCCGAGGCACTGCTATCCACACCACAGAATCAGTAGGCAGTGGAAATTCACGCAGCTACACATAACTGCCTGGTGAAGCTCAAAAAATACCTTCCCTCAGGCCCTAGTCTTAGAAAGTCAAACTCGGCTACCCAGGGGTGGGCGACCTCGCCTTTCCGCGGTTCTCAGAGCTCCTGGATGTTTCAGACGGACCCCGCGGCCAGGTGCTCGCTCCCCGCGGAAAGCGCGAGCGCGTCCGGCCCGCCGGCAGGGCCTCTCGGGCCGCGGCTGCGCAGGACTGACGGCCAACGAGACGGGGTTCCCGGCCTTCCTAAGCCTGCAGGGGTCAACACGCTACCCACCCTCGGCACGCACGCGCCACAAATCTGCCCCAGCCCCGAAGCTGCCGCCCCCGCCCACCCCGTCCCGGGACTTTCCTCCCCAAGAGGCCATCCCGCAGAGAGCCCTCCACCCTGGGCTAGCGAGAGCCCGGCAGGCGCGGAAGCGCCCCGCTGCCACTCGGCGGCGCTTGTCCGGCGGAACGCCGCGGCGTCCGAGGACAGGGAAACCCTGCCCTCGGAGAGCGCCGACTCCTCCGCGGCCTCTTGACACAGCGGTCTCTTCACCCACGAGGCCCCGACCCGGCGCTGACGGGCTCGTGACTGTCCTGCCAATCAGATACGTTTTTCTCCGGATGGCCAGCCGACCAATCACCGCGCGCGGGTGTCTTCTTCGGCTCTTCGGCCCTTCGGCCCTTTGGTTCGCCGGCGTTCGCTGTTGCTGGGCCCTCCCCGGCCTTCCGCACCGCTCTAAAGCTTAGTTCTCCTTGTTTAATTTCCTCTTTTTTCTCAGACACTTCCGGGTCCTGCGTCGCTCCGGAAGCCCGCGAGTTCCGGAAGCCTGGGTAATCCAGGTTCTGCTAGGAGAAGTCAGGCTTCCCAGAGAATGTTTCAGAAAAAGTTACGTGGAACGGGGGCGTTTCTCAGACTCGTAAGGTCAGTGTCTGCCGGAGAGAACCGGAGTGCAAACCTGAGGTCTTGGTTACAGCTGGGAGGGCGTGGAGTTTCACGACCTTGTCGCTGTCGCCCTTAGCTTCAGTTTCCCCGTTTATTGGCTTCCTGTCTTCCTGGAAAAAGCAAATCAAAGTGTGATTTTTGGGAAAGGCAATGAAGCAATCCCGAGGTCCTAAAAATGAAATTAGAATCGCACCATTAAAAAGAAAAAAAAAATAAAAACACTGCTAGACTTGAGTTCCTGTGCCTTCCTCGAGGTGACTAAGACACTTCGAAATCACCGCGCATTTGGCGTTGGTGAGGTTTAATTCCTTATGAATGGCTAAAGAATTATGCAGTGTTCAAACTACTTAATATCGGATGGCTCATGTAAAGTGTTATATTTGGTACAAAAATAAGTTGAGTATGCTTAAGTTTCTAACATTTTTGAAAGCCTGTGAACTTAGAACTAGTTTTAATTTTCTTGAGGAGGAAGAGCTGTCGCGAATGTTCTTGCGTAATTGCTTGCAATGAGTTTCTTATATTTAACATTGATTTCTGATAACTGAGAATAATTGACATTTTTCTTCTGGTATTTTAAAATAAAAGTCATTGTTTCTTCACTTATTTCTTTAGGTCCCATTTTCCAAAACATCACATTTAGTGAAAGGGCTTTTCACGAGACCAAGTTGTGTTGTTGACTGTTCACATCGAACACGTTCTGGTAGTCTTGATGCCCCTTGAGAATTTTTTACCTTAACAATTTCAAACAGTTACAGGGAGATTGAGACTTTATCCACACTACAATTTGCAGTCTAAACATCTTCCCCTAATACATTAACTTTAGTTAAACCTGAAAAAAATAAACTTGGGATGGCTGACTTCTTTTTCATTTTATCTTCTCTCTGATCTGCCCATATTTTCAATTACTTGTATCCAGAAACATTAGAGTTTAATGGAGATTGCAAAGAAAAGAGGTAATGGAGTTATTTACAAAGTCAAAAAAAGGGCTTTTATATATACGGAGTATATATTACATATATATGTAATATAGATACATATTATAGATACATATGTAATATATAATGTGTATCTATATCTATATCTGTATTCCCCCCCCTTAAAAAAAAAAGGAAGAAAATGGAAATAACAGGACATAGTAAAGAGAATACTAGACTAAGTCAAGAGAATTGAATGCTAGTCCTGACTCTGGTTTCCTTTGACCCACCCTACCTTGTGGTCTTAATCTCTTCATTTTTAGAAATTAGGAGTGTCAGTCAATCTGTGGTTTTAAATCTGTTCTGTAGAAGAATTCCTGTAGAAATTTCCTGGAACCACGCAGAGGAGAAACAAAGCAAGCCGACTCTCAGCCATATTTTACAAGAGCAGCTATTTTATGTGTTGTTTGAAAAAGTGTTTTCTGTTAAGAAAATTAAATTCATGTCTTTGAGGAGATGATCTGTGTTTCCTTCTAGCATTAAGATTCTGTTTCTTAGGGTATTCATTTGTATCCAATGTGCATTCGTTCGATTTGTACAGTTTTTTAAATAGTAAAAGATAAATTCATGGTTAATTCATTACTGAAAGCCTCGAACCTCTGTGTTGTCTCATTGTTTAGTAGGTACAAATTTCAAATTTAATTCTTCATGATCAGAATCATAATTCTTTATTTTTCTCTCTTCCTCCTACCCTTGTATTTTAATACCAAATTTTTATGAATAAATTTATGTTTTGAGTCCTAGCCCCGTGTTTTCCTCAGAGCGTCACATAATTTTAAACTGTCTTTCTCTCTTGCACTCCACTGTGCTCAGGTTCCTGTTGCACAAGGAAATGTATGGCATATGCACAATCTTTATTTCTGGACAAAAGTTCTGCTCTGAATCACTTGCTCCTTTTTTTCCTCCCTTGATTATCTTGGGCAACTTAGAAGCAAATTGGATGTCCCCTTTATCTCTTTCCTGTGAAATGACAGCAGTTTCTAAACATTCCATGTTCCTCTTCAGTTCCTTTGGAATGTGGAAGAAACCTCTGGAGAAAAGCTCTGTCCTGCTCCATTTGCCCCATGTAATCCTGGCACTGCAAATACCAGCACTGTCATTTCTCTACATGGAGGTGGAGGCAGGGAAAAGATGGCTAGCACACACTCTTCTTCCCATTGTGCACTGTTTATCAACTTTTCAACCTTTACCGTCTATAAAATCAAAATGCCCTTTTCTGTATTGCTTTCTATTGTTTTAATATATTTTCCTTTTTTTTTTTTTTTTTTTTCAGAGCTCTTCCTTCTTAACTGCCTGTCAATAAGGTGAGATAAAATTCCATCCAATCTGTGTTTTCTTCTTACGGTTAAAACAAAAATACCCAAGAGCTGTAGAGTAGTTCTGTTTTGATGATGCATAACCGTTCCCTTCTAGTAATAGATGAATTGGCATTGCCTCTGCTTTGCATATAGTGTGTGTTCATAACAGTTAAATGAATGTTCACGCCTCATTTTTTTCACCCACATATTCCCTTTGTTCAGATTTGACTTTCAGTCTCTTTGAATGGTTCTCTGACCACGTGTATAGAGTCAGGGAGAGAGAATATAGACAAGATGCATCCCAGGCAACACGGGCAACTTTACCACGTTCCTTTACTTTCTTTCCCCATTTTACAGTCCTGAGAGCTTGACTGGCAGTCTGGTCTTGTGAATGATCATGAGGGGAAAAAAATTAGCTTTGAGCTCTGCGGGATTGAATCCATACTACTTACTAACTCCCTTTGTGTGTTCCACAGTTTCTGTAGTGTTTACCAGAAATTTCCTGATTGTCAGTCTGACCTTAAACAGGTGCTTAATCTTCTAAAGCCTAACTTCTGTCTTCTTAAAATGGACGTGATAGTACTTACTGTGTGATAAGGATTATATGAGATAAAGAATGTAAAGAAAACATAATGCCTTGCACATAATAATGTATCACGTGATACTTCTTCCTTTTCCATTGCTAATAATACCTCTTCTGCTTTGTGGATATTTCCATATTGTCTTGAATGCCATAAAATATGCAATTAAACATGTATGCCAGTAATATGAAAGTCATTTAAAATTCTCTTCTTAGGTTCTAAAGCTTTTTTCTAATTTTATAGCATACTAAAGATCTAGTTGCTTCATGTGTTTCATGTGGCTCTTTGTTTATCCTTGGATTGTAATTTCTGCTGTAGTTCATGCCTACACTCTTAATAGTGCTTAGCCTTTAAAATAGCCCTATTTGTATGTCATGTTGTGCTCCTAAAGTGTTTATGTTCATCTTTTAGGCCCGTCACCACCTTGTCAGTCGAAGACACTAGTTCAGAGCATGGCTCTGCCACTTCTAGGTGTGTGTTTTTACACAAGTCAGCAAATCTCTTTCTCTCTGTGCTTCAGTTTCCTTGTTTTAAAACATAAATGATAAAAGAACCTCTTTGATTAATATTGCAAGGATGAAGTTATTTAATATTTATTTTTGCAAAGGATACTTAGCCATGATAGTTCCTTATTAGCACTTGATAACTGGTAAATGGAATATATTTACTACAGTCGTAAACTCATAAATTGGTAGGGAGTATCTTCCATAATGCTTTGCTGGGTTTTTTTCTCTATGATAGTGTCTTTGTCTCACATGTTCTGTTTTGATTTCTCTACTTTCTCTAGCCTTTTTCAAACTCATGTCCAGCATTACCATTTCCACAGTTGGAAACGGCTGTTCTTTTTTTTTTTCTTCCTCTTCCAAACTTTCCTAAAACAGTCCCTATGAGGATTCTAAATAGGTAGACTTTTCATAGTTAATTTTTTAAATTGATTCTTATATCTTTTAACTGCTAGGGAGTATAGTGTGGTAAAATGACTTGTCCAGAGGCACACAGCCTGTTGATGAACCTGGGCTAAAATACAGAACTAATCAGAACCAGTTGAACTCTCTTTCCCCATATTCAGTCAAACATCTGCTCTTTATTTTCACAACATGCATTCTCTCTTAAAGACTCAGAAGTATCAACTTTCTGAAAGAAAAGATTATGAGTGCCATGCTTTTCTCTTAAAAATGTATTTGTAAAGCTAGGCCAACATATTGGAAATTCTGTTTTAAGGTTTGAAAAAACCAGAGGGAAACTTTTCTGTTTGTTTTAGGTACTTGAATAAGTACATTATAAATATAATAGGAAGAATGCTCAATTGTGTAAGACTCACTATAGTCTTGAAGATTGTAGTATTTGAGTTGAGTTTCCTTTTCTTCCTGAATTAAAAAAAAATATGTATAATATGTATGTATATATATATATATATATATATATATATAGCATATATGTATATATATATATAGCATATATGTATATATATAGTGGGTATGTATATATACATATATATATATATATTCTCATCTGGTAGGGCAAGTTGTTCATCTTTTTGAGCAATTTATGCTATTGTGGAGTTTATCCTTCAGATATATTTTAGAAACATTTTGTTGAGTACTCACTACCACTCCCCAAAAGAAAAATCCTGTTTGGATTTTGATGAGGGTTACATTTAAAAGTAATTTAGAAGAATTTAGTGTCCACAACAGAATTTTAAAATTTCACACGTCTTGTCCATACCCCAAAGAGTACAATTGGGATTTGTAGCATTGGATATCTATAAACTATTGAAACTTAGTTTATATTTGATGAAAGAGAGGAACAACAGAATAGTGACAAGTCATTTCGCAAGCCTGTGGCAGAAGTGGGATTTGAACTTCTTGTTGTTGACTTCTAGGCCTATTCACAGGGCCAGAGGTCGCAGTGTCCTAATGGATCTCAGTCATAGCTTTTTCTCTTTTGCTCGTGTTTGAAATGTGCTCTGGGAATCGGTGTCCTGTTAAATCCCTCTTTGATGCATGTCCCACTTATTAGTATTGATTTCAATACAATGGCAGTAAATCTATCTGACTACACAAAGGAAATAAAATAGTAAGGTGTAGGTTCAAAGCTTAAGATCTCCAGTTATAGGACTTTATTCA